TTTTTTTTTTTTTTTTTTTTTTTTTGGTGGGGAAGCTGGAGTGCAGTGGCACAATCACAGCTCACTGCAGCCTCGACCTTCCAGGCCCAGATGATCCTCCCACCCCACCCCAGCTTCCTGAGTAGCTGGGACTACAAGGGCATGCCACCCTGTCTGGCTAGTTTTTGTATTTTTCGTAGAGACAGGGTTTCACCATCTTCCCCAGGCTACCCTCTAACTCTTGGATTCAAGGAATCTTCCCGCCTCAGCCTCCCAAAGTGTTGGGATTATAGGCTTGAGTCACCACGCCCAGCCAAGAGCTCTTTGGTTTTCATTCAAAGTTATCAAAAAAGTAGAAACAAATTACTTGGTTATGGTGATTAGCCTTTCTTTTGGGGCTACCAAATGAGACACAAATTTACTAGGAGAAATTCTCCGAAATTTAGAGACGATGGGAAGCTAACAAAAATCAACCAACGTTGAATTTGCTATTTTGAAATTGGAGTATGCTTTCAAGTGTGAACAAATAAATGGATTTCTCAGTTTGTCTCCAAGCCATTCTAACTTAAAATTGATAAAAGATAATCTTGAAAACTTTATCAAAATTAATAAAAAGTACACAAAGAAACTAAGTAAAGTTTAGAAAATGGAGAATCTGAGGGGAGCCAGTGTGTCTCAACATCTATCCAACCAAAAAGGTACTGATTCTAACCCTAACATAGAAAAAGGCCAGTTACTAGACAAGCTTGACTGATCAGATACATCCTCAAAGACCACCCTGCTTCTTTTGCTTTAATTCTAACGTGTAATTTAGTCTCCAGAGTGTATCAGCCAACCAGTGAGAGGAAAAGTATAGTCTGGATCATACCGTTCATTGTAAAATCACACTGGTATATTCTACATTTCAAATATGACTCTTTTGAGGTTGGTTATTGCAACTCAGCTCTCCCCAAAATCATCATCCCTCAATGAACTGACAAATTGAATTTTGGAGCCTGTGAAGCTGAGGCCCAGTCCCTGGACCACGGTGACTTCACCTAGTGCCACCAGCACAGCGTGACCGAGCCAGCTGGCCGCATGGATCTCTGCTGCAGAAGAAGGGAGATGCTGAGTACTCTCAGCAGCCCGCTACTCAGGAGCCAGCCTTCACCTTGCCCCTCATCCGCTCACACTGGGATGCGGGTTTAAGAGAGGGAATTAGATGTGAGTTTTGTCTGGGGGCCTTTTCAGGACAGATGCCCAGCAGAAGGGTTCTCAACGGTGACTGAGAGTTTCCGTCTCCCCTAGAACCCACAGTTCAGTGAACTGACTTCAGTGGAGTGGTTGAGCCCCGGAGGCAATCTGTTTGAGACTTCAGTTATGCTTCCAAGAGGCCAACGGAGCCCTAGAAATATGTGATGAATTATACAAAGAGGGACAACTGCCTTCTATTCACCACACTTTGATAGCCATATTCACTGCTTCTGCCCAGATTACCAACAGAGGTCGAGGACAGTGTTATTTGTTAAAAAAAATTTCCTAGGGATTCAAAAAACAGTATCACACTTCATAAATGAATTAATTCCTTAATATCATCTGATACTAATACATAGTCAAATTTTCCCAATTATTCTAAGAATGTCCTTTGCACATGTTTATCCAGGCCAGGATCCAATCTAGAATGTTACAGTGCATCGAGTCGTTATTTCACCTAAATCTCTTTTGATATAGAGTAGTCACTTTTTTCATAACACCGACTTTTCCAGAGGATCGAGCCATAAAATGGGATTATCTCATAAAATAGCTCACCTTCTGTATTTAGCTGCTTGCTTCCTGTGGTCTCATCCAGCTTGTCCCCCATGCCCTGTGTTTTATGTAGACTGTAAGTTAGATCCAAGGACTTAATCCGATTTAAGTTAAATGTTTTTGACCAAAAGGAAAAAATACATCATGGGCGATATCACATACGTCATGTTGCCTCACATTATAAGACAATGTTGTCGTGGCATTAGTGGTGTTAAAATTGAAGACTGCATTAAAATAGTGACCTTCTGATTTCTCCAGTGTACATTGCTCCTCTTGTGAAATGAAAGAAAGTGGTAAATCACTGGTATGGTGGTACTTTGGCGCCATATGAATGTCCTGTTCTCTATTAACTGTTTGTCTAATGATTTATCAGCAATTAATTTTTTTTGTTTGTTTGTTTGAGATAGAGTCTTACTCCGGCTGCCCAGGCTGGATGGAGTGCAGTGGTGTGATCTTGGCTCAGTGCAGCCTCGACCTCCAGGGCTCAGGCGATGCTTCCACCTCAGCCTCCTGAGTAGCTGGGACTACAGGTGCACATCACTATGGCCCAGCTAATTTTTTGTATTTTTAGTAGAGATAGGGTTTCGCCATGTTGCCCAGGCTAGTCTCCAACTCCTGTAGTCAAACAATCCACCTGCCTCGACTTCCCAAAGTGCTAGGATGCCAGGTGTGAGCCACCACACCCAGCAACAATTGATAATTTTGGCCTGATAATTTCTCTCTGGCATTGCCTTTTCCATAGTCAGTATACCATAGTCTTATGGTATACTGCTTACCTGTTATGATTTGAAGCGAATCACTGGCTTCTTGATGCTTAACTCCTTTATCTGTAAAAATAGGTTATTTTAGGAAGCAGAGGCAGGAGGATCGCTTGAGGCCAGGGGTTCGAGACCAGCCTGGGCAACATAGTGAGACCTCATCTCTCCAAATAATAAAAAATTAGCCAGGTGTGGTGGTAGCACATGCCTGTAGTCCCATCTACTTTGAAGTCTGCGGTGGGAGGATCACTTGAGCCCAGGAGTTGGAGGCTGCAATGAGCCATGATCATGTTACTACACTCTAACCTGGGCAACAGAATGTGATTCTACCTCAAAAAACAAACAAACAAACAAAAACCAAAAAGAACCAATCCAAGTTGCTGTCAGCAGTATGTAACATGCTTTGCTTGGTGCCTGGTGGTCTGTATCCATGCAATAAGCATTGGCTTTTTTTTTTCTTTCTTTTTAAAAAATATTTTAAAAATTCAATTAAATAGAGACAGGGTCTTGCTATATAGCCCAGGCTAATCTTGAACTCCTATGCTCAAGCAGCTCTCCCACCTCCACCTCCCCAGTAGCTGGGATTGTAAGCTTGAGTCATGGCTTTTTATTATTGTGCTTTTCCTTATTTTGGTAATGATGGATTGCAGAGCAGTATCCAGTCTCATATCCCTGAGGCAAAAAAAAAAAAAAAAAAAAAAAAAAAAAAACCTCTAGAAAGGAGTTGAGGAAGTTAGATTTTTTTTTTTGAGGTTTTTTTTTTTTTAAATTATACTTTAAGTTCTAGGGTACATGTGGATAACGTGCAGGTTTGTTACATATGTATACCTGTGCCATGTTGGCATGCTGCACCCATCAACTTGTCAGCACCCATCAACTCGTCATTTACATCAGGTATAACTCCCAATGCAATCCCTCCCCCCTCCCCCCTCCCCGTGATAGGCCCCGGTGTGTGATGTTCCCCTTCCCGAGTCCAGGTGATCTCATTGTTCAGTTCCCACCTATGAGTGAGAACATGCGGTGTTTGGTTTTCTGTTCTTGCGATAGTTTGCTGAGAATGATGGTTTCCAGCTGCAAGTTAGATTTTTTAAGAAAACTGACTTGTACCATTTTCTTAAAAGCAAGATGTGTTCTAAGAATCAGTAGTGCCTCAACATGCTACAAAGGAGAAGGGTCCATTGTTAAAATAATGTCTAGGAAATGTCTCCCATTCTTTTCCTTTCTTGAAGTCTCATTGAACATATGATTAAACTAAAGTTTCCAGAAAGCCTCTCAGGAAAGAAACCTAGGCTAATCTTGTAGGCTAATCTAGTATTTTCTAATTTATTTGCCTGTAGACACTACTCCCTGACCTCTGCCGCTGACTTTTCTTAAACACACACAAACATTACATTGAGCTGCCTTGGATTCTTCCAAAGGCTTGAATGAAGAGGGAATCAGAGAAGCCGACTCCCTGTGGAGAGTTGGGAGGTGTCTACCAATGACTTTGGATTCTGAAAAGCCACACAAGCTAGAGGAGTTGTCAAGAGGTTCAGTTTTTGAGGGGTCAGGAAAGGCATAAATTGGAGGCCAGGCAGTAATTCAACAGCTAAACTCTCTTTCTTAGACTTTCTCCTAGAGGATCTTAGAATCCACCCATCCTATAGGTGTGTTACAGCTACTGGGACTTGCCTAGGCCAGACAGAAGTGAGTACTTTGGGCCAATGCTTAGATACTGAAGGGTATAGAATATATTATGGTTCAGAGGAAGAGCAGAGGATTTGGAGTCAGACAAACATGGGTAAATGCCTTCGTTCTACCAGGTATTTACCATGATACCTGGGAAAAATCTCTTAACCTCTCTGAACCTCTTTCTTCATCTATATAATATATACAATTAAAGTACTTAGACCAAATGGTTGTGAAGCTTTCTTAAAAAAGTAGTATATAAATGATAGTTAATTTAATTTTAATAGTAAGAGTATTCTTACTACATGACCCCACATTTTGTGGATTGACTAATCATTGTTTTATTTATTCAAATGGTTAATATTTATTGAGCATTTACTATGTACCAGGCACTGGGTAGGTACTTACATAGAGCGTGAACTAGAGCAGATCCAGTCCCTGACTTCATGTAGCTTACATTCCATTGTGGGAGACATATGATAAGCAAATATACACACAAATAAATATAGAATTATAGTCCCCTCCTTCCAGGTACTGATGTGGTAATTTTTAAATGGGAATATTGCTTATAATATATATTTTGAAGGTAACATCCACAAATAAATATATGGAAATGAATTTGTCAACTTAAGTAAAGAATAAGATTAATAATAAAAAATTGTTAGAGACCTTAGGAATAATTTATCTCAATCTCCTCATTTTATAGATGAGGAAAACTAGGACCAGGAATACTATAGAAACTTACCCAAAGTCACATGTTTGTTGTGTCATGCATGTCACATGTGTACATGTGTGTGAGGCAGGGGTCAGAACACAGATTTCCCTTCTTTACTCAGTGCTTTCGATCTGCTGGTTCCGTCTGAAAGGCATTATGAGTGGCTCCTGTTTTATCTGTGTGTTATAAGCACACTCTTATACAACATGTTCTGATTATAAAAAATTGAGGACCCAGACCAATTGATTTTTCCAAACTTTGTTCCATGAAGGATTACAATTTTACTAGATGTTAATAGGTTATCACTTTAAGCTTCTTGGTCAAATTACTTTTGGACACCCTGCATCCCCCCTGGATCTTTACTATAGAGATCCATAAATGTATATTGTAATTTTAAAAGATTATTCCTGCAGTAAGGAAACCTTTTAAACTATGCCCAACCTAACATTCCCCAAACTTACTTGATTACAGAATCCATTTTAAATTCTGTAGCCATGAATGTGATTCATGTGCTGTGCAGGAAGTGTAGCCTTAGCATCCATTTAGTTGGCTCCTTGGTAAAGGTTGAGGAAGCCCATTAGAGCTCACTAAACCAAAGCCAATCACACAACTTTAAAAGGAGCAGTTCCTTGGATCTTAGGAATTCAGGCAGACTGTGGATGTGTGTAACATGTAGGAGCAACACCTAGTAGGATTCATTTTCTTAAGGTGACCATGTCCTTTTAACCCAGGACTGAAATGGGAAACCATGGAAGCATAAAGAGTATGTTTTGATACATCTTTGACACAATCCTCTTTAAGTTTTGCTATTATTATTTTCAAGTCTTTTGAAATTATTATTATTGTTATCTTTTCAGGCATTCACAAGCCCGGAGTTCTCCAAAAGGGTGCGATATCTTCACAGGACAGGCAAACAAGGTAGCTGAATATTGTGATTCCAAAGTAACTGTGTGTCATTCCTTCAGTCTCATCCAAGTTCATAGGCATGAAGCTTGTCTGTGACTGCTTGGTTGGGCCATCTAAATTTGAAACTGTTAGTGATATTTTGAAGTCTTTGAGACAAAAGCCCAGCTTGCTAAAGAACTTTGGTTCAGTAGAGAGACAGGGAGGTACAGTGGAGAGAGAATCAAAAGCCTGGAAATTTGCTGCTGAGAATAAATGTTAGCTGCTCCCTGAGGTGATTTGTCTGTGCACTCCACTCTCTACAGATGTTAGAGCCTCTTTTTGAGTAAGGACCCGAGGTTCTTTGGTAGCACTTTGATATCCTGCTCGAATTCAATATGTGAAATGGAGGCGTCTCTCTGTGACTTGGAGCCCACAGCAGGCTTTGAAGTCTGATCCAATTTTTGCTGCCTACTATTTGATGTTGAAAGGATGAAATGAAGAAAATGTACAGTTTTTGCCAGTAACTCTGCTGAGCATATGTAAGATTAAAAAAACAAAATCCTTTGGATGATGTACTTAGAAATGTTAAGCAGATTAATACCTTCCTATAGGTTTTCTTTTTTCTTTCTTAGAGATAAAAAATAAGTATAGGTGAAAATCAGCACATAGCTGTTTTATATTCTGGACTATAATTAATTTAACAGGAAGCTAGGTTGACTCGTTCTGAAGAAGAAATAAATGAATGAAGCAAAAGATGTTGAGACTTGGCTTCTAATTGCCCCAAGGAGAGGACCTCCATTCAATTCTATGCAAGACGGGAGCAACTTACAAATGACTCCAATATACGTAGCCTCTTGCTTTTAGTCAGAGTTAAGTGCCCCTTCGTTAAATAGAAGCCATGTCCTTAAGGCTGTTTCATCAGAGGATAATAATAATATTTCTCTTACTGGGTTTTTCTGAAGCACTCGATTTCTGGGACTGATTTGCTGTCTTCTCGGATATGCCATCCTGCTCCAGATCACCAAGGACTGAGTCTCTGGGGAGCCCCTCAAAAACCTGGTAAGAAGAACATTTTGAATTGCATGCTGCTTCTACCATTTGCTTGTTTGCGTACTTTGGGCAGGACTCAATTAGATAGTAATATGACCAAATGTTGGCAAAAACTTTTGGGAAGCCATACATGCTGGATGTAAAACTTGTATTAAAGGTAGTTTTACCATGTACCCATGTCATTTAAGATGATGAACATCAAAGTCCATGCTTTTCCATTTACTTAACCTTAAACTAGGAAACTGTTCTAAAATTTCATTTTATTAAAGGGAAGATAAACAGCTGACCAGCTTTTAGTGGAGCAGATCATGCAGGGTCGAAATCTAGGAGTTGATAAAGAATATGGATTTAGAAAGTAGTTCTGCCCTTTTGGCAACATGGCCATTCTTTGAGCAAGAAGACAGACATGCCTTTGGGAAACAACTGTTTCTGGCTCATTTTCTAAATTTCTTGCTACAGAATATAGTAAAAGTCAGTTTCAGGTTTGCATGCAGCTATAACCAGTGCTTCTGAAAGATAAAATAGAAACATAATTGTAAGAAATATTTACAAGCTAGAAGATATTAAGGACTACGTGAACCTTTCCAAGAAAAGAAATGCTCCTGATGTTACACTTAATGTCAACCTCATCTGTTTTTCTGAAATATAAAGTAATTTCTCAGATCTCTTCAGTTTTCTTCTTAGCTTGTTTATCAGTGACAAAGTAGCACAGTATGAAGTGGGAAATGCATAATAAATGTGTTATGACTTCAGTCAGTCTGTATGGATCTTAAACTCTTGGAGAGAGACAAGAGGATGAGTCCATTATAGCAGAACCTTTTAAATGGACGTATAGTAAATGATAAACCTGACAAAGGAAATATTTTCTTCATAGCCAGACAGTATTCAGGAATAAAGTCACAATGAAGTGGGGGTAAAAGTAGTACAAAAAAAGAGGAGAGAATTTAGGGGAAAAACAGTATAATGGAGCAAAATTCATTATGCAAGAGTTTGGTTGGTGCTTTTCTCTATCCAAACAGATAGTCTCTATATTTTAATTGGAGTGTTTAGAGCATTTATATTTAATGTGATTATTGATATGTTTTGGTTTAAATCTATCATCTTGCTATTTATTTTCCATTTGTCCTATCTAGTTTTTGTTCTCTCTTGGTATTCTATTTTTAAATAGATGTAATTCCTAAAAAGAAAAATTTTAAGTATGGTTGAATAGCTAAACCATACTGGCAGGTTCTGGCATCAGACCTGCCTGGATTCAAATCTCTGGTCTCGTGTGTGTGTGTGTGTGTGTGTGTGTGTGTGTGTGTGTATTTCTCTTTTTTTTTTGAGATGGAGTCTGGCTCTGTCGCCCAGGCTGGAGTGCAGTAGCGCAATCTCTGCTCAGTGCAAGCTCCGCCTCCCAGGTTCACACCATTCTGCCTCAGCCTCCCGAGTAGCTGGGACTACAGGCGCCCGCCACTATGCCCGGCTAATTTTTTATATTTTTAGTAGAGACGGGGTTTCACCGTGTTAGCCAGGATGGTCTCGATCTCCTGACCTTGTGATCCACCCACCTCAGCCTCCCAAAGTGCTGAGATTACAGGTGTGAGCCACCGTGCCTGGCTGGGTCTCCTGTGTTAAGCAAGCTATGTAGCAACTCCTTACCTTAGTACCTATTCATGTAAAGTGAGGGAAATAGTAATGCATATCTGAGAGGTTTCACTTAGGATTAAATGAGCTAGTGTAAGTAAAGGGCATAGCATAGTGTCTGGCTCATAGTAAGGGTTTAGTAAATGTCAGATGCTGTTATGGTAATTATTGTTATTGATATTATATAAATACAGAGTTTATGAACATGAATACTAGGTAGAGAAATAAAGTTCTTTTGGTAAGACATTAAGTTTTGGTGTGATAGTTTGGGGAACTAAAAATACATTACATTTTGAATTTATTAAAAAGAAAAGAGACTTGTTGGATTACAATAATCTTTCCCATTCTTTAGGAAAGTGTCTTAAAAAGTCAAATGTATTAATAAGTAACACATCTGATTTGCTATAAATGGCTTATATGCACGTTCTTTCTAGAGTTGTCTCTCCCTTTCAGTCTAAATGATTTTCTATTGGGTCTGCCACCATCAACATTATTGCCCCTTACACTCTTATAAACAGCATCCTAAGTAGTCTTCCTGCCTCCATTCTCCTTTAGTTTATCTTATGCCAACAGAAACCTAAGATTTCTAAAGCAAAATCCTAATCGTGACCTTCTCTCCCTCCACACTTTTCAGTGACTCCCTAGTATCCCAGCATGACCTTCAAGGCTTTCTCTGTTCTAGTCCTAATCTTCTTTTCTAGCTCTAACTTCTACTGCTCTCTCTTTTTCATTCTGTGCTTCAGAATCTCCAAACTATTCTGTTTTCTCGGAACATGCCTGGTATGTTCTTTCCCTCCTCTGTGACTGTTCATGCTGCCTCTTCTACTCCACATATCCTTCTTCCTCATTTACTTTTCAAAATCCTCTCCATTCTTCAAGGTCCACAATGGCTCCCTACTCTTTTACTCTTTCTTATAATACTTATCACATCCTGCTTTGTTTTATAGTTACTTTAATGCATCTACTAGATTTAAAACTCTCTAGAATCATGTCTTCCCATTTATGAGTTCTCTCCTCACAACCTAGCCTAGGTCTCGAATTGAATTCTTGAGCATCCAAAGTGGTGATGAAACATAATGGAAGCAAGAATGAAATGAAACTTTACCTAAGTAAGGAATCAGAGAAGAGTTTTACAATGTATTTCTAACAATCCTAGAACAAAGTAAATGTTTCTGAGACAACCTCCAAATAAATATAGTGTACTAGTGGAAGAAATTAAAATAATCCAAGCTATTTCATTTTGTTACTATTGTTACTGTTGCTGTTTTGGGCAGGAGAAGCAAAGAAAGTTTAGACATGAAGACATGAGAAAACATATGTAAATCGAATTCCCCTTGATCTTAGAAAACAACCAAGATGAAGAACAAAATTTTTTTTCTGTTTCATTTATATTATCAGTTGTAGAAACAAGAATATATTATTTAAGCAACATTTTTAGCAAATTATACCTTTGTGTTTAATTCTGTGCTTTAAATGACCCATTATTTTAACCCATGTTTTTGTGAAAGGTTGAATGAGAATATTGTGACCTTTTCAGTTTAAAAAAACACTAATATCCAGAAGGTTTGCCTTCTAACTTGCAGTGAGGCCTAACTTCATTATTCTAAGAAGGGGTCGGTGAGGTGAGAATGAGAGGGGGGGAATAAATCTAAAGTTACTCCATCTCAAGCTCAGCTTAGAGCAGCCATGCAAAGAAGTCTGTAAATATGGGCCTTAAATGTCTTCAGAGTATAACAAGTGTCCCTAACTGGCCCATGTGGGCCGACTCATTGCTCACATTAAGAGAAAAGCACAATATACCCGGGAAGTGCATAATTCTAGTCACTTGGTCACTAATCCAAGCAGTGAAATTATTTAATAGGACTGACAACAATGTATACAGACCTTATCTGGTTTTACTGTGTAAATGGTTATACTTCAGGCATTCGTTCTTCTAGTTATTTATTTATTTATTTATTCAAAAAATAATTATTAACTCTATGTGCCAGGAACTGACAAGTATTTCTCAAAACTTTTATAAAAGACTAATTTTTGGTTGGTTGTTTTCCATTTTACCACAGTCTGATAATTTTGTGGAATACAATAAAAATGAATTACGAAGAAAATAATCATGGACTTGGATGTTGTGTCAATATCAAAACCCTGTCCACATGATGCTACACTGTAGCAGAGGGAGACAGACAATAAACAATAAGCAGACGAATAAGTCAATTATGTGGGATGTTAGAGAGGTGAAGAGTTACGGGGAGAAAATACAACTGCAAGGGTGATAAGGAGTAGCCCAAGTGTAGAGGGTGAGTTTGGGTGGTTGTATGTATATATATGTGTGTGTGTGTGTGTGTGTGTGTGTGTATATATATGTTTGTTTGTTTTTATTTGAGATGGAGTCTAGCTTAGTCACCAGGCTGGGGTGCAGTGACATGATCTCAGCTCACTGCAACCTCCGCCTCCCAGCTTCACGCCATTCTCCTGTCTCAGCCTCCTGAGTAGCTGGGATTACAGGCATGCGCTACCACGCCCAGCTAACTTTTGTATTTTTTTTTTTTTCTTAGTAGAGACAGGATTTCACTATGTTACCCAGGATGGTCTCGATCTCCTGACCTCATGATCCGCCCACCTCGGCCTCCCAAAGTGCTGGGATTACAGGCGTGAGCCACCGCGCCCCCGGCCTGGATGGTTGTATTTTTAAACAGTGTGGCTTCATTAAGAATGTGAGGTTTGAGTAGAGGCTTGAGGGTGGTGAGCCAGTTCACCATGTAAATAAGAGAAGAGCGTTCCTGGCAGAAGACCACGATAAAGGCCTGGAGGAAAGAACGTGAATGGATATGAAGAGTAGAAGTCCCTGTATTGGAGCTGAGAGACCAAAAAGTAGAGTCATAGGAAATGAGGAGCCAGATAGTGCAGGTTCGTACTGTTTAATGTCCTAACAAACATCCTAGGGATCTAGATACCATGAGGATTCTCATTCAGCAGGTCTGAGTGGCTCTGAGATTCTGCAGCACTAATGAGCTTGCGGGGGGTTCTGATATTGTCGGTCTGAGGTTCACTTTGTGAGTAGTGAGGGTTTAATCTCAGTGAAATGGGAGGCCAGTGAGTGGGAGAGTGGCATGATCTGGGTTATGATTTTAACAATAACTCCAGCTTTGGAGTTGAGAACCAACTAGACATCATCAAGAAATGAAATCGTCTAAGTACATTTTCCATACAGCTGAAACTCTCTCAAACCTAAAATTACCTTTCATATTGAGTGCACAAACACAATTCTCCTTATTCTTTGTATCTAGGGGCATGATTATTAACAGCAGTTATCACATTGGGCTGTAATGCAGAGCAATCCTCAGAGACTGTTGTGAAATAGGGCCACCTACCCTTGCAGTAAATGA